CATTGGCTGTAGGACAGTCAGGCTAGCTCTAGGTTTCCCACACATAAAAAATACAGAAAGGTTTCTCCTCATCCCAGCCCTCCCACCAAGACCAGTCCATCTTCAGCCAATCAGAACTCTCCGAATTGTTTTAAGAACACTTTGGGGTAATCCACACTCTTTCTCAGGGTGTCGGGTCTTGGATGCTGGTACAAACTGGTGCTGAGCTTCAGTTAGTTGCCCCTCCCTATTTCCCATCACCTACGCACACAGCTTTATTGCCCAACTACCCTCCCCATCCCCAGCCTTGGATGGCAGGATACCTGTGAGGCACCAAGTGGAGGAGGACCGACCTGACACACACCCTGCTGCACCTCTACAAACCTGTAACTGTATAGAGGCAGTTTTTATTTAGCAACCGCCCAAAATTATGATGAAAAGGAACTTTGTGTTCAATCTTCGCATGTACAATCTTGCAGGTCTATAATGAAAATGAAAGCTGAAGTCAGATCATAAACAGGGTTGCGGTTTCACTTAGTGGCTGCTTCATTTAATGACCAGATTGCTGGCCTGAGTTGTGGTACATGTTGCACACATGTACCTCTCGGGTGGGTTGCTGCTGGTTTTATTACCGGTTCGAAACGCGCATGCACTGTTCAATGTAAATTGTTCTTCGTGCATACGCAGAACAATTTATAGTAAACTGTGCACACACAGTCACTAAAAACCATAACAACGGCAGCTCAGCAGCGGTGAGGGAACCGGTTTGAGGGCGTGGCAGGCTTCTGTGACCCAGGCCTGAATTCCACTACCAGTTCGGCCGAACTGGGAGCAACCCGCCTCTGGTACCTCTACACATGTACAGTCTTTACATTTACTTACATTAATATTATATTAATACATTAAAAGTTCATTAATGTACTTTTAGGAAGTCCACGGGTCTTAAAAGTTTTCAAGGTTGGACATCCTTGGTTTAGAGAGAGGTTGTTGGAGAGGCAAGCATCATTTCACCAAGCTTGCTTATACCCTTTTCTTTCTCCCCAGTCTGTTTCCACCAGTCTTTCAACAGAAAGGACACATGGAATGTCTTAATGACAGTTATCTATTTGCACACAAGCTACTAGGGAAGCAGGGTTATCTAGAAATTACTGGAACGGCCCTGGTATACAAAACATTTCAAGTTCAAAACATCCTTTGCATACTTTTCTTAAAGCTATTCCCGTGTTATTTCAACCATTCTGGAAGAATTCCAAACCTTGAGTGGCCCTGTTCTGAAAAGCTCTGAGCATTTCAAATGTGAAATAGCTTGCATGCCCTTGATAAATCTTTCTAATGAATAAAAAAATCTCACTGAAAGACATCTCAGGTTGAGGAAAGATATTTTTGAAGATGTTTTATTTTTTAGTGGAAACACAGCTACCTGACTTAGGGACCAAACTGGGAGGAAGAAAAGCTGGTGGTGCAGCAAATCTTTGGATGGAGAAGTCCTGTATTTAAATCGCCAGGACTGCTTGCTCTCTTTATCTATGTCGCTGTATCATCCACATGTCGCTGTATCACCCACAGCATAATCCACGCAGACCAATGAAATTATTTGGTGTCCTCAGATGTACAAATGTAATTTCAATTTTAAAAAGAAATGTTTTTTTAAAAAAATTGAAATTACATCCGTACATCTGAGGACACGGAATAATTTCATTGGTCTAGATTATGGTGTGCATGATACAGCTGGAGAATTTTTGTTCCTTTTATTATGCACTTTGATATGTACTAGGTTGTTTGAATTATTCTTATTAACCATCTTGACTGCGGTCTGTTGGTGGGAAGGTTGTCCTTGGAGCTGTTTAAGTTTGGTTGTTTGCTTGCAGACATTTCATTACCCAACATATATAGGATAGGCAGGCAGAAGACTAACAAAGTGCATCCATGAACACAAACAAGCAGTAAGATAACATGATGAGGGTCCTTATTCAACCATAGTTTCCACAGGAAAACTGTGAGCAGTTAAAGCTAAATCCCCAAAAAACCACTAGGGAATTCCTGGAAACTTGATATTCAGACCTATCAACTATTAATAGACACCTAGAGATAAACCACACTTACATATTATTCAAAAGACCAGAAAAAGCTAAGAAACAAAAAAAAAAGGCCAGCCACATCCTCTGCAGCAATCAACAGCAGATAAGCAGGGATTAACACCAGACTAATAATCAAGCAGAAAACAATACCCTAATCAAGGACCTACAATACCCTACATAATTAAGGAGAAAATCACACTCTCACCAATAGTGGCAGGACAAATTACATGCTTATAAGCACTGATTATGTTACCTGGTTAGATAATGAAATGTCTTCACCATGATCAGAGAGCACTAATGATCCCACAGTTCAACCCTGAGTTACATGTGTTCCATTATTTTTGGTTGAAAGTAGGATTCGAATTCTACAAATAAAGCCACATTATAATGCCATGTTTCTGTTTTTTCCCTCTTTCATTTAACATTAAAGGTTCTGATAGAGAAGGAGTGGATTGCGATGGGCCATAAATTCTCACACAGGTTTGTGTGTTAGAATTATAAATGTAGAATAAGAGGTTTTCTTTTCATCCCGCTTGGAACAAGATTAACAAAAAGAAACGACTCCTAAACTGAAGCCTTTTTTAAAGATAACAAGATATAAAAGAAAAAAGCTATGGGGCAGGCGAAGGGAAAATAAGAATAAAAAAATAAGGATATTCAAACATTTCCTCACAACACTGCCTAAAATGGACTGTGAAGATAATGGAATTAGCAGAAATGATAAGATTGATTTGTTTGATCAGAGATAAGATAGTACTTTTATTGACATCTGGACCTATTGCTGAGGGGGGGGGGATTCTGCTGATTTGCTGAAATTTTGCTGATTTATGGATTTGCTGATTTAAAAACAGTTGGATAGTTGTACAGTTGTGATGGCAAACCACAGGTGGCACATGGAGCCTTTTGTCAGGGTGTGCAAGGCATTGCCTTGTCAACTGGCCAGCGTGCATGCACGTGCTGGCCAGCTGACTTCAGCCTTCTTTTGTGCCCTCCGGAACACAAAAAACTGGCCCTACAGGCAAATCAGAAGTTCAGGAATATACTTCCGGTTTACTCATGGGGCCGTTTTTAGTTCTCCGGAGCCTTCAGGGAAGCCTCCTGAAGGCCCCTGAAGGCTCCATAGGATGAAAAACGACCCTATGAGCAAACCGGAAGTCACTTCTGGTTTGTCAGTAGGGCCGTTTTTAGTCCTCCAGAGCCTTCAGGGACCTTCAGGAGGCTTCCCTGAAGGTTCCGGAGGACAAAAAATGACCTGAACGGACTTCCAGTTTGCTCATAGGGTCAGTTTTTTGCCCTCCAGAGCCTTCAGAGAAGCCTCCAGAGGGCCCCTGAAGGCTCCAGAGGGCTAAAACCAGCCCTATGAGCAAACCGGAAGTCCATTCCTGAACTTCCGCTTTGCCGATAAGGTTGGTTTTTCGCGCTCCAGAGGCTTCAGGGAAGCTCCTGAAGCCTCCGGGGGGGCCTCCAGGAGGGTGGGGAGCCTGTTTTTGCCCTCCCCCGTCTCCTATAAAGCCTCTGGAGCCTGGGCAGGGCGAAAAAAGCACACCAAAAATGGGCGGAAGTGCTGGTCATGCACACATGCACACTGGCGTCGTGCACATTGCATTATGGGTGTGCCATGCCCATGCACAAGCCCCCTGCTCTCCCCCCACTTTTGGCACACAAGTCAAAAAAGCTTCATCATCACTCTTGTATAGCCTTTATTGTTATTGTGCATCATGTATACAATGAAATTGGTTAATGGGAAGAAGGGAAATATGTAATTTGAAGAGGGAAGTGAAAAGATTTGCTTTTACTGCTGTAAAAGAGATTGGGAGTCATTACATATTTTTCCATTCTTGTTTCTGTTTGCCTTTTCTTCCTTATATTTATCTCACTTTTTCTTCTTTTTTAATTTCACTTTTTGCTTATCTTTGATATCTGAGAAGACTTTAATTAAAATTATTATTTGGAAAAGAATATTCCAACTCTTCTGCTATACTAGTGGTTGGAAAATTGCTAGTGGAGAGGGAAACTCAAATTATTTAGGGATAGCTGAAACTAGCGCTAAAAGAGATTAGTTCCCCCTTCCCACAGCTTTTCACCTGTTATCTCTTCTCCTGTTTCACTTTGCCTGCTCTTTTTGTACTCGCTTAATCTCATTTCATACCTTTCAGCAAAGCAGGATTGACTTCTGCATTGCAGTTTTTACAGAATCTGTTAAGGACAGAAAAAAAGGGAGGGGATCGGGGAGCCCCTGTGCAGCTGTTGCCATTTTGCAATTCTTGCATGACATTTTGCAAATGTAGGTAGTCCTTGACTTAGGACCACTCCTTTAGCAGTAGCTCAAGGTTATGATGGCTTCAGAAAAAGTGACTTACGATCTATGCTTGCAGTTGCAACCATCACATCCTCGCTGCAGTCGCATGATCGAAACTTGGCATTTGGCAACCAGTTTGTATTTATGACCAGTTGCAGGATCCTGCAATGACGTGATCATGATTGCCAACCTTTTTTTTCAGATTTCCAACAAATGATGACCATTGGGGAAGCAGGAGTTGCTTAACAGCTGTGCGATTCATTTAACAACTGTGGCAATTCCCTTAATGACTGCCATAAAAGTTGCAAAATTGGCTCCAACTCAACCTACAACCACAGCGACTTGGGGCTGAAAATTCCAGTCCCAATTATGATCATGACGAGGACTATCCATATTTATTTTGTATTTGGTCCTAGAGCAGCCAAGATCAATTTAGCTTCAGTATCTTGCTGTACTACCCAGCAGTGAAGAAACAGGATTTACTGTAATATAAAATAATTTATTTTGGTAATTGCCTTCCCTTAATGGCCGCTAAATGAATGGTTGTAAGCCGAGGACTACCTGCAAGCACTTGCAAAAAAAAAAAAAAAAAGATCAGCAGCACATTCACTACGTTGCTGCTGCTTGTTTTTTGGTCTCTCCAGGTGTGGCCATCTTGAAGGAGATCCCAAGGAGCTGTCTCCCATCTTCACACAGTTCCTTGAATGCACCTGGCAGCTCATGCAACAGTTTCCATGTGCATTTGAATTCAACGAGCGGCTGCTTCTTGAAATTCATGATCATGTCTATTCCTGCCAGTTTGGCAACTTCCTAGGGACCTGTCAGAAGGATCGAGAAGATCTCAAGTGAGTCCTATAAGTAGAATCTTGAGTTCCCTCTGTTTCATGGAACAGCCATGGTGGTGCAGTGGTTAGAATGCTAATTCTGCAGATTGTCAGCAGTTTGATTCTCTCCAGCCCGAGGTTGACACAGCGTTCCATCCTTCTCAGGTTGGTAAAATGAGGAGCCAGATTGTTAGGCACAATATGCTTGGAAAATGATTCATATTTATGACGGTTGCAGTGTCCTGAGGTCATGTGATCACCTTTTGTGACCTTCTGATAAGCGAAGCCAGTGGAGAAGCCAGATTCACTTAACAACCTTCTTACTTAACAACTGCAATGATTCACTTAACTATGGCTAGAACGTTGTAAAATGGAGCAAAGTTCATTTAACAAATGTCTCATTTAGCAACAGAAATTTTGGGCTCAATTGTGGTCATAAATTGAAGGTTACCTGTACTTGAAGGAGAACATTCTGTTCATGCACTGGTGGAGTTTTGTCTTGGCCTCAAAGTTCAAAGCCACAACAGTGTTGACATTGAGAAGATGAAAGGTTACTTGAAGGTCTGAGAAGGCCATTAAATGGCTCTTAGTCATGATGGTCACCAAAGATTCCAGTACCAGGTCAATATGTCCTTTCGATGCCCGTTGCTCAGGGAAGCAGGGAAGTAGCTGAAGGCAGGACAAATGAAGACCCAGATTGTTAGGGGCATATGCTGACTTTGTAAATCACTTAAAGAAGGCTGTAAAACAATGTGAAGCAAAGTGCTATTGCTATTAACATTAAGAGCAAAATTATCTTTTCCGAGAAGGAGATTTTGATGCATATAAATGTGTGGCACACAAGTGAGCTTTTGTGTGGGCTCTGCTAGATATCCAAGCAGTGTTCCTACTGCATCCACATATACCATTTTAGAAAGTTATGATGACAAATTCATGGAAGAAAAGAGTCTCATGAAATGCCCACAGCTAGGAAATAAGTGGGTCCTTGGATACATCAGGTTGGAAACAGGATGTTAGAGAGAGAACATTTTAACCTAATTTAGCAAGTCTCTTAAACCAGGATTTGGATTTGTCTCAAGTGGGGATCCTAAGAAAATAATTTGGAGCAGATCTTTGCTTGGTGCCAAGTTGTTAATGGTGACTTAGTGACTGTTCAGTTATGAATTCCACCACCACCCAAAAAGGCCTTACAGCGCAGTTCTGATGCCTCCCATGGTCATGTGATTGCATTTCAGGTGCTCGACATCTAGCCCTCATTTGTGGCTTTCAGTATCCTGAAGTCACCTGATTACAATTGACAATGTTTTTGTTGTAAACATAGCAAAAAACATAGCAAAAAATGGGATTGCTTAATACCATCGCATTCACTTAGTGACCACAGCAAAAATGGTTGTGACCAGTTTTACAACCATCCTCACTTACAACCATAATGGGCAGGCTCCATTAAGTTCATAAGTCAAGGACTACCTGTTTTTCAGTTGGCTTCCTGGCTGAGGAATTCTGGGGTTTGAAGCCCACCCATCTTTACGTTGCCAGAGTTGAGAAACACTGGCTTATAAGAATGAAGTCCCTTTGCTGTAACTCTGTCCTGAAACTTCATTGTAAGGAATCTGTCTGCAATTCCAATGAGCAGTGAAGAAATGGCAATTAAGATTACCATTGATACTTTGCCCTCCTTTTATTGAATTAACTATTTGATACTGTACAACCTCCAAGGCTGGTTCCCCAATCATTGAGAGATATTGGAATTGGTATTGGACCTGGGTACTTGAGAGACCGCCTCCTGGCAATTAGCTCCCTACGACCAATTAGAGATTAGGCCTCCTCCGAATACCATCAGCTAGCCAATGTCGACTGTCGACCCCTCGGGGGAGGGCCTTCTCTGTGGCTGCTCCGGCCCTCTGGAACGATCTCCCCATGGAGATTCGGACCCTCACCACCCTTCAGGCTTTCCGCAAAGCCGTCAAGACCTAGCTGTTCGGGCAGGCCTGGGGCTGATGAGTTCCCAGCCCCACTTGAATTGTTGTGATTGTTGCGTTGTTTTTAATCTGTTTTTTGTATCTTGTCTTTGTCTTTGTTTGTTTTTTGTATCTTGTCTTTGTCTTTGTTTGTTTTTTGTATTTCCCCCTTCCCCACTTGTTTGTTAGCCACCCTGAGTCCATCGGGAATAAGGTGGCATACAAGTATAATAAACATACAAACATACATACAGATGTTTTGCAGCTATGCTGATGTTCTTCTTTGCTCTTGTATTTGCAGAATCTTTGAGAAAACACATTCCCTGTGGCCTTTTCTTCTGCAGAGGAAGCTGGAATTCAGAAATCCAATCTACAAGGGATACACTGCTTACACGTCTCTCCAGCCCAATACGCTGCCATTCAGTTTCCAGTAAGTTATGACTGGGGAAAGGAGAAGCTTGAATGCAGATAACCCCCACTATGCATGCTGCTTAATATTTATGAAATATTAAATCAACAGCAGATCAAGAAAGAGATCTTGGGGAAAAGATTTCATTAGAGAGGAGAAACTCTGCTTTTTATAGTTTAGGAATAAGTTCTGGGCTTGTTTGAATCTAGACACTTTCGAATCACCAATACAGGTAGTCCTTGCTTTATGACCCCAATAGATCCCAAAATTTCTGTTATTGAGTTGGCCCATTTGATGACCTTTCTTGCCACAATTGTTAAGTGAATCGCTGCAGTTGTTAAATTAGTAACATGGTTGATTTTGTCAGAAGGTTACAAAGGGGAATCACATGACCACGCAACACTGCCAATGTTGGAAATATGACCCAGTTGCCAAGCACCCAAATTTGATCATATAACTATGGGAATGCTGCAGTGGTCATAAAGATAGCGATAGCAATAGCACTTTCATATCACTTCACAGGGCTTTTCAGCCGTAAGCGGTTTACAGAGTCAGCCTCTGGCCCCCAACAATCTGGGTCCTCATTTTACCCACCTCGGAGGGATGAAAGGCAGAGTCAGCCTCAAGGTGGTCAGGATTAAATTGCGGAACTGTTGGCAGCCAGTGATCAGCAGAAGTAGCCTGCAGTCCTGCACTCTAACCACTGCGCCACCGCAGTACAGATGAAAATGAAAAATGATCATAAGTTACTTTTTCCGGTGGTGGTGTACCTTCAAATGGCCACTAAGTGAACTGTTGTAAGTCAAATATGCCCTGTAACCATAGCAATAGCACTTAGACTTTACTATTCTTTAGTGCTTTAGTGCTTGATTCAGCGTCCTCTGAGCTCTCTGGCCCCCCAAAACCTTGGTCCTCATTTTATCAGTCTCAGGAGGCTGAATCAACCTTGAACCAGTCAGGATCAAACTCCTGGCAGTGGGCAGAGTCAGCCTGCAAGGCTGCTTTTCTAACCATTGTGCCATCACAGCTCTCTTTTTTTGAGGTAACCAGCATTAAACTACAAATCATTGCTTGGGTTGTAACCGTGGTTTAAATGTTTTGAAATTATAGCATAAGAAAAAGGAAGCAAGAGGTAGATGCAGTGGTAGAAAATGTTTATTTACCAATTTATCAAGTTTGGTTTATGGCCAAAACATCCCCAAAGGTTACTCTGTAACATCTGGAGAACTTAATCTCTAGGCGATGAAACAACTGTACCTTAATTGTACAATCCCAAGGGAGCCTAAATCACATACCAGATCTCCAAATTATGCAGCTGTTTGCTTCATGGACTGTAATGAGGTGTCATTGCCTTTCTTTGCCCTGAAACAAGGTTTTTATGCCAGCCCATTTTTCCCTTAGCTGGAAATTCTGCTACCGTTTATGGCAAACTGAAGTTAGGTGAGCAATGCTGAGCCATCTAAGATTGATGGTCATCAGACTCTGGATCCATATACAACGCAAGTTGATCCTGGTGATGGATAGCAGAAAGGAAACCAGGCTCCTCCTTCCAAGCTTGCAGCTTGATTACATCAGAGCTATTGGAATGAAGCTGCTGCTTCCTTTAAGGCAGTGATTTTTGATCTTGCAACTTGAAGACGTGTAGACTTCAACTCCTAGAATTCCCCAGCCAGCAAAGAGCAAAAAAGAGGAGAACTTTCTCCTGCTCCCTTCTCTTGCAAATTTGAATATTTCAAGGATCTCAACTATTATTTTCTGTTACTTTCTCTCTCTGAGGTTCTGGTGCAGTATGTATAACCGTTTTGATAAAGGGATGCATCCCAAACAATGTATTCTGGATCATCTGCTTAGCTGCACCAGCCAGAATTTGCAGTTGGAAAACAACGCTGCAGACCTGGAACACGTGAGTGGAGTGCAACTGATACCGCTTGAACCCCCAGCTTCATTTTGCAACACCTCTTCAGCTATTCTGCATCACAAGGGGCAAAAGAATCATAAAATTGTATCTAGAAGAAAAATAACAGGGAGACATTAGCATCTCATTCAACCTGTTCTCTGGTTTGGACTATACGAGACCGGTTCCTTCTTTACTACAAATTAAGAAGGGGCTGAAAAGCACTAGTTGGTTGGTTTTCTGGTTTTATTTATTTCAGTTTTTTGTCTAGGACCTTTTGGGCTCTTTTGTAGAATTTTGGTGGTTTTTATTGTGCAATATTAATAGCAATAGGACTTAGCGCTTATAAAGCGCTTCACAGAGCTTTACAGCCCTCTCTAAGCGATTTTCAGAGTCAGCACATTGCCCTCAACAATCCGGGTCCTCATTTTACCAACCTTGGAAGGATGGAAGGCTGAGTCAACCTTGAGCCAGTCAGGATTGAACTCCTGGCAGTGGGCAGAGTTAGCCTGCAATACTGTTGCGCCACCATGGTTCATAGTAGTATTTAATATTTTATATAGTATTATTGTAAGCTACGAAGAGCACAAATCTTAAGGGATTCCTCAATTAAACCATCTGAAGCTCTGGGGAAAAAGCCAGGATATAAATCTTAAAGAATAAAAGGGCATGAGAAGTGTCCCCTCTCTCTTGTGTTTGTGTATATTTGAGAGAAGGACAGAAACACACACACAGAGATGAGTATCGGCTCTCTCTGCCTTGGGAGTCAAAGATGCTCATCCAGTTGCAGACAAAATACCAAACAATAATTTTTCCTATGGTGGAGTTAAGTTTCCTGTTTTTTGTTTGTTTTACCAACATTCCCATTTTTTATGCCTATGATTTAGTTCTTTCTAATTCTTTCTTTCAACCCATGCAGAAATTGCCTCTCTCGGATGGGCTCCTGCCAAGTGAAACACCTGCCTTCTCCAAAGGGTTTGCCTCTTCGCTGGACAGTTCCATCTCCCCTATGGTCAACACCCCCCAGGACTATGACACCCCTGTGCTGCTGACCAATGGCACTATTGGTGGGAGGGAATGCGACAGACCAGATGGGCAGGTGATAAGTGAAGTGGGTCTCCCTCCTCCCGCCACCCCAAACGGCAATGGCTGCAGCCCAACCACCATCCACAGCGTGCCTCTCTGGGGCAGTGATCAAGCAGATTTCCAGAGGGCCTGAAGCTGCTGGATCTCCACCTCTGCTGGAAGAGTCATAGCAAAGGGGCAATAAAGTCTGAGATCTATGACTCTGTGCTGGGAACACCACCTCACTGACATGTGGCTTAGTGTTGTATTCTGTGTTCTCAAAGTGAAGGAGGACAGAGCCCAGTGGGGACTTTGGGTCAAACTCCCAGAGGTTGGGGATGATGCTGAGTTAGGGGCTGCCACAGTTCATTCAAGCCAAAACGATTTCCCAAACATTCATTTGGCGGTTGGGGGGGGACACAGATGTGCACTCAGCCAATTGATGCTATTGTTGGGTTCCATGGCAGATTATATTTTAAGTGGGGAGAGTTTAGATAGATAAAGGATGCCTGCATCAATGCATTTCAAAAGGGTGCTCCCAAGTAGCCCCCCCCCCCATCCTTCTCTTTACAAAGTTAGAATTCCCATTTGGTCCCACTGTTAGCAAGGGAACGTTGATCGTTGTGATGCAGTATTAGCATTGTGTGGTTTTTTTGTCTTTGCAGGACTTCCTGTCTCTTGTGTCTTTTGTTTAACTCTCCTGAACAGGCCCTGCCTTCTTATTTCTCTCTTGTCATGGTCCATGGCCTTGAATGTGTTTTTGGCATGTTAGGAGAAAACTTTCAGGCATCTGCAAATATGATGGTTCATTTATCATCTGATGTCACTTTGGAGAACTTGGCTGTAGGAGAAGGCATGTCAGAGCCTGAGGGAAGAATTAAAAAAGACTAAGTCTGCTTGTGGCTCCATAGGGATTCTAGGCTGATCCCTCTTTTAACACCACCACCCTCTCCCAGGTTCTGCAATTCCTTCTCCTACTTTATGCACGTTCTCAAGCCCCTTCCTTCTGCTCAAGCACTCAAGAATATCCTACCTAATTATCAGAATGGACCTGCTCCTCCTCAGCAGCAAAACCTCCACAAATTGATCACCCGCCCCCACATATAATGTGCTTGCCTGAAACTTCACTAAGAGTCTGACCTGGGCTAGAATGCATGTTTCCCGCATGTTTTGAACCAAAACGAAACACGCGCTTCCTGTTTTGTTACTTAGGGGAAGGCTTAATGCCAGCAAGGAAACGCTGAGCAGAGACAGCGCAAGGCCTCCGGCTCTAAGTCCACCAATAGAAGTGCATGCAGAATCTATGTTCCTTTCTGCTTAGTGACACAAGTGAAAAAAACTTCTTGGGATAAAACAAGCCTTCACCCTTAATATTCTCGGAAACAAGAAAATGGCAGTGGATTTTTTTGAAGCTTTGTCTCCCTCGAAAAGAGGAGACAAAAGACACTTGAGAACGTCCCTGAACCAAGAATTACAGCTCTGAGTTAGCTTACAGCTTCAAAAATACAATGGTTGAGAAATAACCCTTTTCCCTTGATAAATAATTAGTTCTTCCAACATAATTTTATTGGATCCTGCACATCTCTACTATATCTTCCATTTTCTGCTGCATCAGTAGAGTAAAAAATCAGATTTTTTTAGTAAAGCAAATGACATTCCTAAGGAGAAGCATCTCAGCATTCTTGTTCCAAACGATGTGGGTGTTTCTTACAAAAAGTCAGCCGTTGCTCTTAAGCTGCCTTTGCTGCTCAGTTTCAGGATGTCATTCCACACACACAGTCCTTCATGCCTTCATGCAAATATTGTCGTCTTTATGAAAGCAAATGGACTTGAATCCTTGCAGGACAAAATCCTGGAATCAGGCAGCTTTCAGAAAGTGTAAGTGTGCGTTTCAGAGGACAGTGTTTAGCAATCTTCTTTCATGCTCACACCATCATTGTCTTCATTGCAGCATTTCAAAATTCCCTGGAATACTATTAACCAGTATGCCTATTGGGATAGTTTGAATGGCTTGTGAGCAAAATATCTGAAATATTTTTTGTTATAGCATTCCAGTAAACCTAATCATCTGATGAACTCACAATAGTGCAGGAAGAGAATTTTACCAACTGCATGGTTGCCCGCCCATTTTAAAGTATCTGCATTGTTATGTCTGTCCATGTTGTTGAACAACATTTTTGTTGACTTCTGCGATGTTTTGTGTACTCCAAGGCCTAACAAATTTTAAAGTGAACACACAAAGATTTCTTTTCAAAAGGTTCACCAGTTTCCTTTTGCAGATAGTTAAAACTGTGTTGCATATCCAGGCTGAAATATTTCTACAGTCCCTATAAAGTTTGTCTGGCTGTATTTTCGTCTTGCAAGATTGTCTAAAACTCTGCAATCAGAGACTTTTGATAACTCATCCTGAATGTGAGTCATGAGTACACTTGAAACCCTGCTAAAATAAAAGTACAAATATTAGGAGATTATAGTTGTGTATATAAAGATATATTGCTGCAAGTCTTATAGTAAATTAAATTTGTAAGTATTTTTTTAAAATTTCTTATGAAAATAATAAATTCCTCGCATTTCTAAAATGAGTGAGGGATGGTTTCTTGGATCAATGTTGTATTTGAGAGCATTTTAAATAAAATCGGCCTTGAAGACATTCTGGGCCCAGCTCATACTCCAGAAAGGACTTTTTCACAGTTGAGTTTTTCTAGGTAAAGGATTTTTTTGGTCCTCGTCATAGAACATTCTTAACAGCTATGGAAAGAAAGTTGTAAAATGGAGCAAAGTTCACTTAACAAGCATCTCACTTAGCAACAGAAAGCTTGGGCTCAATTATGGTCATAAATTGAGGATTACCTGTACTTGAAGGAGAACATTCTGTTCATGCACTGGTGGAGTTTTGTCTTGACCTCAAAATTCAAAGCCACAACAGTGCTGCGATTGGGATGATTAAAGGTTACTCAAAGATCGGAGTAGGCAATTAAATGGCTCTTAGTCATGATGGTCTTGTAAGTTTCCAGTATCAGGTCAATTTGTCCTATCAATCCCAATTGTTCAGGGAAACAGGAAAGTAGCTGAGGGCAGAACAAGAAGTAGCAGATGAAACTTACCAAGGAGAGATCCATCCTAGAACTAAGAATAAATTGTGAAGTTGAGTATGAACAATTATGGAATGCTTGCCTCCAGAAATCGTGGGTGCTCCATCACTGGAGGTTATGAAGAAGAGATTGGGCAACTATTTATCTGGAATGATATAGGGCAGTGATGGCTAACATTTTTCATCACTACGTATGTGTGATGAACCTGTGTGCCGGAAAAGGCACGCAACACCATCCTGCGAGGAACATGCAACCTCACTGGCCTTTGACGAAACCCAGAAGAGCAGTGTTACATCACGCTTACGTGCACCAGCACCCAAAATTTCCAGTTTCAGGCGCTGGTGTGCGCCTGACAAACAACTAGCCGTCGCGCATGCACACAACAGAAATCTAGATGTTTGGGTGCATGCGTGCCGAAATGCTGCTCTTCCAGATTTCAGCACTCCCACAAGCACGAAAGCCAGCTGGCCAGTGTGCTGGGAACATGTGCACAGGAACATGGAAGAGGAACCAGTGAGGCTGTGCGTCCCACGGCTCTGCGTTTCATTTCCGGCACACATGCCATAGGTTCACCACCACGGTTATAGGGTCTCCTTGAGCAGGTGGCTTGACTATGAGACCTCCAGAGACTTTTCCAACTCTTTTATTCTATATTTTGTGTGTTGTGCAGAAGGCCCTTTTGGGGTATCTCATTGGTCATTGTGCCGTATGAGATAAGAGTTCATCTTGTGCCACCACAAAGTTATTATAAGACTGAATGCAAATCAGTCAATCTAGAAGAGATTCCTTCCCACAGTCACAGAGGTGGACAATTTTGCAAAACTGCTCAAAATCTGCCCCAGAATTGGAGCGGAAAGAAGAGTAGGGACCTTCTAATGAGACTCACCTACCCATTCCATTGGCTAAACTGTATTCTTTTTTTAAATATTTTTTTATTTTTAAACAAACATAAAACAAAACCATCTTCCAGTTACATACTGTCAAGCACACCTCCTTCAGCAACCAAGAAAGAAACCACTTAACTCCATTTGTAGAATTAAAAGTACTTTTAATGGTTATGAAAAGATAGCAGCGAAGTAAAGCAAGGTCTGAGGCAGAAATGCGCGAAAGCATACATATCAAACATTTTTTAATTTTTTTTATCAATTTCACATATACATTCACAATTATATGATCTCATAACTGTTATTAATATGTATTTATAACAATTTTTCCTACTGTTGACAATATACTTGAAGATTGCTTTNTTGCAGCCCCAAGTAAGCTTCCCTCCCACTCAGTTCAAAGATTGAATTACTTGATTTCAAAACGAGCAGAATTCGTATGCGAAAGCATTAATTGTTTATTTAAACCATATTGATGATTATGTACTTGGAACTATCAGATGACTTCTCCAGCACTTCTTGCTATTATTAAGGTTCCAAGAACATGCCTAGAACAACACATGATAAGAGAAGAGCTGTGATAGTCTATGGCAGCCAAAAGTTAGGAGTCTGGTAGCGCTTTTTCTGACTAACACATTTTATCAAGAGACATGAGCATCTGCAAGTTGCAGCTCATTTCATCAGTTGCACTGAGTGACTCAATTTGATGTAGGATTTAAATCAGAATGAGGTGGGAGGTGAAAGTGATCTGCTGATGAAACCTACCCCAGCTCCTGTTCTCCTGTCCTACAGACAATTCATCAGCCTTATCCTGCAGCTATGCACCAGAACACATTACAGTTGCAATTCTCCCTTCGCTTCATCTACAGGAGTTTGTTTAATCTGTGTTTCTCCTGCTGGACTTTTGAAAGGCTGGTGAAATTGCAGTCTAAGACAGGCATTTAAACTTTCAGCACATTGTTTCCAATGATGGTCACACATAGGGAGCCCATTCCCAGTTGCCCCTCTATTAGGGGGTGGGGGGTAAATGGGTAGGAAACTCTTATTGTAGCTACTTGGCAGTGGTTCAGTTTTTACTCTCTGCAAATGTTGTGCAGAAATGGACTGAAATCAGTTGTTCTTGATATAATGTCAAATATGGGTAATGCTTAGCCTCACTGAGTTTCTGTCTTTCATGAGTGTTACATTGTAGAAAGCTATGATGCATGCTAATAAATTTCAGTCAACTATAAGCATATAAAGGTAAAGGTTCCCCTCGCACATATGTGCTAGTCGTTCCGGACTCTAGGGGGAGGTGCTCATCTCAGTTTCAAAGCCGAAGAGCCAGCACTGTTTGAAGACGTCTCCGTGGTCATGTGGCCGGCATGACTAAATGCCGAAGGTGCACAGAATGCTGTTACCTTCCCACCAAAGGTGGTTCCTATTTTTCTNTTATTATTATTATTATTATTATTATTATTATTATTATTATTATTATTATTATTATTATTATTTTTGTTAGTACATATGTTTATCCCAAGCATGTTTACACTCAGTTACTGAGGATTGACGCACTACCACCGTTGGAAGTTGCTTCCAAGCTTTCACCATCCCCTTGTCTCCTCCTCCTGACGTCTTCAGGTGGTGTTGCGTGGAGAGGGAGTGGGTCAGTGGTGGGTTACGACCGGGACGCCCCGGTACGGGCATAGCGGTGCCTGCCGGGAACACTGGGTATTGTTCCGTTATGGTTCTCTGGAAGGCCAACCTACCCACCTGCCATCCTTACCTGTATTTGAGCTCTTCGGGGTTTCTGCGTATGGAATGTACAGCGCCTGCGCGATGCTCCACCGGAGCATCACGAAGGCATTGTGGAGAGCCGCAGATGGTAAGTACACATGTGCGCATTGCACATGTTCATGTGGTGGACGCCAAGCCCCGTTGCACCGTACTGGTTGCAATGGGATCTGGAACCCACCAATGGAGTGGGCCTCGCTCTGACTCACACACTTTGTCATCCCTCACACACCGTGAGAAATCTGGCCAATGAGAGCAAGCACAGCAGCAGCAGCTTTGAGGCAGTAAGCAGAGCTGGGCACCTCCTTGGGGAAGCAGGGTGGGGCTGTGTGGTCCTGGTGCCCTGGGAGCTCAAGGGCCAGGCTGAGCATTTACCCTATGCTTCCTAGTCCTAAGCTGTCATTTTGGGGTCCTCAGCATGGCCTTGAGATGGATAGCAAGGCTTCTCTGGAAAACAAGGGGTTGGCCCTCTCCCTGGTCTCACCTTCCTCCACTGAAGACAATGGATCCCCCGAGTACCACCCAGGCCACCACAGGTGTCCCTCACACAAGTGATGTCAAGCTGGCCACCCCCACCTTGGCCATGTCAACCCTGTCCCTCTGAAGTCAAACACAACCTTGATGGGGCCCTCAATGAAATTGAGTTTTGACACCCTTGATGTCAACTATCCCAAGTAAACCTGCCTTTTGAAATTGACTGATGGTGATTTTTGTCAATGCTGATGGTGTTCAAGTGGCGTTCCAGTTGTTTTGAGATTGCAACCAAGGCATCTACTATTATTGATGCTATCTTTGTTTTCTTTTGGCACAGCCATTCTATTTCTATTTCCAGGTGTTTATAGATATAGATTCCTCCCCCCAATTCTTTTTCTTCTATTCTACTGTCTTCCCATATTGCAATGTCTATTATTTAGGCTTTTTTTGTCTGTCTTATCAACAATTGCTAAGTTTGGAATGATGTGTGGCAGATATATATTTGAATTCTGAAGTCCCAGAGCAGTTTAACTTCTTCCTTTGCTATTATGTTGTCTATTTTGTGGTCTCACTGGTTCTTGCTTGCAGGCAAGTGGTATTTCCAATGCACCATCATTGCTACTTTATACTGCTATTGCTTATAATCAGTCTGTGCGAACGTCTTGCAGCAGCTGACAAGGTGGTCTCCCATTTCTTCAGCTTCTTTGCAGAAGCTGCACTTGCTGTCTATTGCTGTCTTCTCAATTCTGAATGTATATGCATTTTGTTCCTAAGGCTTGGTCTTGAGCAGACAGTATTAACTTCTTTATCTCTTTTTTTCAATTTTCCTGCTCTTGTCAGGTCATGTTATCTGCTTTACCTGCTATTTTTTTTATGAAGATTTTAAAAAACAAACTTTTACAAATATTTACAGTGATTCACTTAACAACTGTATTACTAATTTAAGAACTGCAGTGATTCACTTAACAACTGTATTACTAATTAAGAACTGCAGTGATTCACTTAACAACTGTATTACCAATTTAAGACCTGCAGCGATTCACTTAACAACTGTATTATTAATTTAAGAACTGCAGTGATTCACTTAACAATTGTGACAAGGGAGGTGATAAAATCGGGCAAAATTCACTTAACAAATGTCTTGCTTAGCAAAAGAAATGTTGGGTTCAATTGTGGTCATAAATTGAAGACTGCCAGTATCTTGTCAATTAGGAGCTCTTTGGGCAGTTTTCTTTCTGCTCAAATGGAAAGAGCTTGCTTTCAACTAGATCAGGAGTGTCAAACTCCCATTGCCATGGTGATGTCACATGACATATCAGGACTTTTTCCCTCTTCGCTAAACCAGGAGTGGGCATGGCCAGCCTATGACAGCCCTGAATTAGAGGCTGTTGGATTGCATCTGCTTCCACATCAGTTAATGATTTGACATCATTGAAAAGTGGGTAATCAGTGGTGGGATTCAGCCAGTTCGCACCTATTCGGGAGAACCGGTTCTTAACTTTCTAAGAAGTTCAGAGAACCGGTTGTTGGAAAAAAATCTCCTTTTGTTTTTCCTCACTTTACAGGGCTAATCCTGTAAGGAAGGCAGGAAGGAAACATTCTGGTGTTGCTTCTAGCCTAATCTTTATTGCCCTGCTTACAGAAACTGCCTCTCCGGTTAACCCTTATTACATTATAACAGCTAAGGCAAAGTGCCCATCGACCTGAGTAATGTTGAGTTGGCCACGCCCACACGGTCACATGACCACTAAGCCCCACATCTGTCATTAGGACAGAGAAATGGTTGTTAAATTATTTGAATCCCACCACTGTGGGTAATTAATATGCCTGGTTCTCTTCCTTTTGTTTGATCTTTCATTATCAAGTAGGTTTTGCCAAATGTTAAACCAATCTTCAGTTTCACCTCTTCACAGTTTGTTGTTAAAACTGTTTGGCAATGAGAGAGTGCAGATCAATCAGATATTTCAACCAAAAGCCACGCAACTCATCGTCACCCAAGTGCTGACTAGTTCATCTTCTGTGCCCTGCTCTTCACAATTTCTGCTTTATTACAAGTTCTTTTCTTTCTTTTTTTTTTGGGGGGGAGGGGATCTCAACTTTTTTTTTTGTACTTTATTTTATCAATTTCATATATACATTCACAATTATATGATCTCATAACTGTTATTAATAATATGTATTTATAACATCCCATAGATCCATCTTATCTTACAACGGTCCTACTTCTTCTTCCCTCCCTCCCTCTTTCCTTCCCTCGTTTCTTCTCTCCTACTCCCCTTCCTTCCCTCCCTCCTTCCCCTTCCCTCCTTCTCTCCTTCCCTCCTTCCTTCCCTCCTTCCTTCCTTCCCTCCTTTCTTTTCTCCTTCTCTACTTCCTTTCCCCCTTCCTTTCCTCCTTCCTTCCCCCCTTCCTTCTCTCCTACATTCCCTCCTTCCTTCCCTCCTTTCTTCTCTCCTTCTCTCCTTCCCTCCCTCCTTGCTTCCCTCCCTCCTTCCCTCCTTCCTACCCCCCTTTCTTCTCTTTCTTCTCTACTTTCTTCCTTCCTCCTCTCCTTTCCCTTCTCTCCTTCCCCTTCCTCCCCTTTACCCTCCCCCCTTCTTCCCATTCCTCCCCTCTTTCCTACTCTTACATTCCCTCCCATTCTTCCTCTGCCTCTTTTCATTTTAGTTTCTTCTTTCCTCCTCCACTACCTTTATCCAGGCTGCATTCTTATTGTATTTTGGGGGGATTGGCCCACAGTGTTACTTCTTTTTGGGTGTTGGCTGGTTCTTTTGCAGTCTATTGATGCATAGGTAGAAATGCTTCTGCTTTTACTGCAATTAGAGAGTCTGTTGAAGTTCTCG